CCTCTCAAAGCCAGGCCCTGCACCTGGCTTCCCTGAGTCTTTTTTTTAAATATATATATATTTTTTAATTTCATTTTAGGTTTTGGGGTACATGTGAAGAACATGTAAGATTGTTGCATGGTACACACATGGCAGTGTGGTTTGCTGCCTTCCTCCCCATCACCTATATCTGGCATTTCTGTTCATGTTGTCCCTCCCCAACCCCACACCCTCCACACCCAACCCTTCCCAAGTTCCACTCCCCCAACAGACCCTAGTGTGTGATGCTCCCCTCCGTGTGTCCTCGTTGTTCAACACCCCACCTATGAGTGAGAACATGCGGCGTTTGATTTTCTGTTCTTGTGTCAGTTTGCTGAGAATGATGGTTTCTACATCCATGTCCCTACAAAGGACATGAACTCATCATTTATAATGGCTGCAGAGTATTCCATGGTGTCTATGTGCCACATTTTCCCTGTCCAGTCTATCATCAATGAGCATGTTATTTCTTCTCTTCTGCTAGCTTTTGAGCTTTTTTAATCTTGCTCATGTAGCTCTTTCGATTTTGATGATAGGGTGTTGATTTTATATATTACCTTGCTTCTCATGTGGGCATTTATTGCTATAAATTTTCCTCTAGACACTTCTTTAAAGGTGTCCCATAGACTCTGGTAAGTTTTGTCTTCATTCTCGGTGGTTTTGAAGAATATCTTTATTTCTGTCTTCATTTCACTGTTTATCCAGTCAATATTCAGGAGCCAGTTATTCAGTTTCCATGAAGTTGTGCAGTTCTGAGTGAGTTTCTTAATCCTGAGTTTTAATTTGATTGCACTGTGGTCTGAGAGACTGTTCGTTATGATTTCCGTTCTTTTGCATTTGCTGATGAGTGATTTACTTCCAATTATGTGGTTGATTTTAGAGTAAGAGCAATGTGTTGCCAAGAAGAATGTATAGTCTGTGGATTTGGGGTGGAGAGTTCTATAGATGTCTATTAGGTTTGCTTGGTCCACATCTGAGTTCAAGTCCTGGATATCCATGTTAATTTTCTGTCTCATTGATCTAATATTGACAGTGGTGTGTTAAAGTCTCCCACTGTTATTGTATGGGAGTCTGAGTCTCTTTGTAGGTCATTAAGAACTTGCCTTATGTATCTGGGTACTCCTATATTGGGTGCATATATATTTAGGATCATTAGCTCTTCTTGTTGCATTGATCCTTTTGCCACTATGTCATGCCATTCTTTGTCTCTTTTGATCTTTGCTGGTTTAAAGTGTATTTTATCAGAGACTAGGATTGCAACTCCTGCTTCTTTTTTTTTTTTTTTTTTTTTTTTTTTCCTTTTCTTGGTAAATCTTCCTCCATCCTTTTATTTTGAGTTTATGTGTGTCCTCACACGTGAGATGGGCTTCTTGAATACAGCACACTGATGGGTTTTTACTTTTTATCCAATTTTCCAGTCTGTGTCTTTTGATTGGGGCATTTAGCCCATTTACATTTAAGGTTACTATTGTTATGTGTGAATTTGATCCTGCTGTTTTGATGCTAGCTGGTTGTTTTGCCTGTTGGTTGACGCAGTTTCTTCATTGTGTCGATATGGTCTTTACTATTTGGTACATTTTTGGAGTGTCTGGCACTAGTTGTTTCTTTCTATGTTTAGAGCTTCTTTTAGGAGCTCTTGTAAGGCAGGCCTGGTGGTGATGATTGCTTGTTCATAAAGGATTTTATTTCTCCTTCACTTATTAAGCTTAGTTTGGCTGGATATGAAATTCTAGGTTGGAAGTTCTTTTCTTTAAGGATGTTGAATATTAGCCCCCACTCTCTTCTGGCTTGTAGGGTTTCTGCTGAGAGGTCCGCTGTGAGTCTGATGGGCTTCCCTTTATGGGTAACCGGACCTTTCTCTCTGGCTGCCCTTACCTTTTTTTCCTTCATTTCAACCCTGGTGAATCTGACAATTATGTGCCTTGGGGTTGCTCTTCTTGAGGAATATCTTTGTGGTGTTCTCTGTATTTCCTGGACTTGAATGTTGGCCTGCCTTGCTAGGTTGGGGAAGTTCTCCTGGATAATATCCTGAAGAGTGTTTTCCAGCTTGGATTCATTCTCTCTGTCACATTCAGGTACACCTATCAAACATAGATTAGGTCTTTTCACACAATCACATATTTATTGGAGGCTTTATTAATTTCTTTTCACTCTTTTTTCTCTAATCTTGCATTCTCATTTTATTTCATTAAGTTGATCTTCAATCTCTGATATCCTTTCTTCTGCTTGGTCGATTTGGCTACTGAAAGTTGTGTATGCTTCGTGAAGTTCTTTTGTTGTGTTTTTCAGCTCTACCACCTTATTTTTTTTTTTTTTTTTTTTTTGAGACGGAGTTTCACTCTTGTTACCCAGGCTGGAATGCAATGGCGGGATCTCGGCTCACCGCAACCTCCGCCTCCTGGGTTCAGGCAATTCTCCTGCCTCAGCCTCCTCAGTAGCTGGGATTACAGGCACGCGCCACCATGCCCTGCTAATGTTTTGTATTTTTAGTAGAGATGGGGTTTCACCATGTTGACCAGGATGGTCTCGATCTCTTGACCTCGTGATCCACCCGCCTCGGCCTCCCAAAGTGCTGGGATTACAGGCTTGAGCCACCGCACCCGGCCTTCTACCACCATATTTATATTCTTCTCTAAGCTGTTTATTCTCGTTAACACTTCGTCTAACCTTTTTTAAAGGTTCGTAGTTTCTTTGCATTGGATTAGAACGTGTTCTTTTAGCTCAGAGAAGTTTCTTATTACCCACCTTCTGAAGCCTGTTTCTGTCAGTTCATGAGACTCATTCTCCATCCAGCTTTGTTCCCTTCCTGGTGTGGAGTTGTGATCCCTTGGAGGAGGAGAGGCATTCTGGTTTTTGGTGTTTTCATTCTTTTTGCACTGGTTTCTTCCCATCTTTGTGGATTTTTCTACCTGTGGCCTTTTTAGTTTTTCGGATGGGATCTTTGAGTGGCCGTCCTTCTTTGTTGATGTTGAAGTTATTTCTTTCTGTTTTTTAGTTTTCCTTCTAACAGTCAGGCCTCACTGCTGTAGGCCTGCTAGAGGTCCACTCCAGACCCTGCTTGCCTGGGGATCATCCACAGGGGCTGAAGAACAGTAAGGGTTGCTGCCAGTTTCTTCTTCTATTATCTTCGTCCCAGAAGGATACCCACCAGATGTCAGCCTGAGCTCTCCTTTACCAGGTGTCTCTTTGGATATACAGGGTTCAGGGAGCTGCTTGAAGAGACAGTCTGTCCCTTATAGTAGTTCATGTTGCTGAGCTGGGAGCTCTGTCGTTCCCGTTCAGAGCTCTGGGCTGGTACATTTAAGTTTGCTGCAGTGGAACTCATGAACTACTTTTTCCCCAGGTGCTCTGTCCTGGGAAGGTGGGGCTTTATTTATAAGTTCCTGACATGCTGCTGCCTTTTGTCAGAGATGCCCTTCCCAGCAAGGTGGTAGTCTAGCCACAGTCTGCCAGCAGAGGTGTTAATGAGCTGCTGTGGGCTCTGCCTAGCTGCTGTGTGAACTTCCTGTTAGAACTGCCTCAGTAATGATGGTCTGCCTCAGTAATGGCTGATGCCCTTCCCCTCACTGAGCTGGACTGTGCTGGTTCAGCTGCACTTGCTGTGAAACTCTCAATCCAGAGCATTTTAGATTGCTGGTCTTTGTGGGGGGTGGGACCCACTGAGCCACATCACCTGGCTCCCTGTTTTAGCCCCCTTTTTTTTTCAGTTGAATGGGCGGCTCTGTCTCCCAGGTGTCCCAGGCACCTGTTGAAACAGCTGCCTGGATTTGTGCAAGTTTTTGTGCGGAGACCAACAGCACCAGCTGAAACAGCCGTGGTAGAAACTCGTGGCACTTTTCAGCTTGGGAATCTCCTGGTCTGTGGGCAGTAAAAACTTGTTTGGAAATGCGGTGATCACTCACCCTCTGCGTTCTTTTCACTGGGAACTGCACTCCACAGCTGTTCCTATTCCACCATCTTGGATCTCCCTCCCTGAGTCTTAAACTGCCCCAAGTTCTACTGCACCCCTGCTTTGCCCTCTTGTACCAACCCTACACTTCATCAGATGAGAAGTACTTGGCAGAAAAGGAGCTAGAGGAAACAATAGGTTGTGCCAAAAGCTGCAAAAGACCCAGAAGTCTCCACTGCTGATTATGTGTCTTTCAGCCTATTATCTTTGGTCAAACTTGACTTCTTGCCTTTACAGTTGCAACACAATCTCAACTTTAAAGGGCTTGCAACTGTGTTGGCAATGGAAAGAGACTTGCTTGTATCTTACACAGATAATTCAACAAGACATTGCAACGTGTTTTCTGAGCTGCACTTGGCATTTTCCTTACACAATCTCAGTACACACCCCACCCTGTCCCATTCACTACTCCCAGTGTGGCCGGCTCCTACTTGTCCCTTCTAACTGGGAGGTTATCCATTAGAAGCCCTTCCCTCTTCAAATATAAGTAACTGTGTATTTCATTTTTTCAAAAAGAATATTGTTCTCAGAAGCTGTAGAATTCATTTTAAAATAAATTTTAATAGTTATATTGTATTTCTTTTTAGAAGGGACATCATTTTTCAGTGCTCTGATATTTCCCCGATTTTTTATAGCTTTCTAAAAATAACTGCTGGTAAGCTCATAAGTTCATTAGTTAATCCCACTGGTACTCAATAATGCATATTACAGACCTACTGATTTTTATATATTAGATTTTCTCAAGAATTCCCTTACCTGTTATTATCAACATAACTATATTGACAGGGTCTTCATTACTTCCGAATTGCCCATGTTTCTTTTTCTTGTTAAAGATCAATTTTTAAAATCAAGCCTTGTCATTTTGAAAATATCATAGAAATATCCTGTTAATATTAATGTGTTTCATATATTTTTAGTTTCCTGCCTCGTTTATCATGATAATTTACAAAGTTTATTCTTTACCTTTTTCTTTAAAAATGTATTCTTTTGTGGGGGACAGGGTGAGAAGGTATGGGCACAAGTTTGGGTTTTATCTCCCTGAAACAAAGATATAAAAAAGTGGTCTTTCATATGCAAAGATGAACAATTGATATTCCCTATTCTAAGCCAAACCCTAGGGTGTAAATTATGTGTAGATTGTCAAAATTACAGGCTTACCTTGTTTTATTGATCTTAACTTTATCACACTGTGTAGATATTGCATTTTTTACAAATTGAAGATTTGTAGCAACCCTGTGTCAAGCAAGTCTGTTAACAGTCATTTCAAAAAAAAAAGAAAATCAGCATGTGCTCACTTTATGTCTCTATGTCACATTTTGCAATTCTTACACTATTTCAGATCTTTTCTTTGTTTTTATATCTGTTGTAATTATCTGTGGTCTTTGATGTTAATATTATAATTATTTTGGTGCACTAAGAATCATGCCCATAGAAGACGGCAAAATTGTTTGACAACTGTAGTGTATCATTGGACTGGCCATTCTCCTGTCTCTCACCCTCTCCTCAGGCCTCCCTATTCCATGAGACACAATGTTGAAATTAGGCCAATTCATAACCATACAATGGCCTCTTGATTAAGCTTAGTGAGGAAGGAGTGTCAAAAGCCAAGACAGGCTGAAAGGTAGGCCTCTTGCAAAACAGTTGACAAAGTTGTGAATGCAAGGAAAAAGTTTTTGAAGGAAATTAAAAGTGCTATCCCAGTGAATACTGAATGATAAAAAAGCAAAACAATCTTATTGCTCATCTGCAGAAAGTTTGAGTGGTCTGCACAGAAGACCAAACAAGCCATAACATTCCCTTAAGCCAAAGCTTAATCCAGAATAAGTCCCCCACTTTCTTCAGTTCTGTGAAGGCTGAGAGGTGAGAAAACTCCAGAAGAAAAGTTGGAAGCTAGCAGAGGTTGATTCATGATATTTAAGGAAAGAAGCCATCTCCAGAACATAAAATTAAAAGGTGAAGCAGCAAGTACTGCTGTATAAGCTGTAGCATGTTATCCAGAAGATCTAGCTTAGACCATTGATGAAAGTGGCTACACTAAACAACAGATTTTCAATGTAGATGAGTAATCTGTTGGAAGAAGATGCCATCTAGGACTTTCATAGCTAGAGAAGGTAAGTTAATGCCTGACTCCAAAGCTTCAAAGGACAGCTAACTCTCTTCTTAGGTGCTAATGAAGCTGATGATTTTAAGTTGAAGCCAATACTCATTTACCACTTTAAAAATCCTAGGGCCTTAAAAATTATGCTACATCTACTGTGCCTGCACTCTATAAGTGGAACAACAGAGTCTAGATGACAGCACATTTGTTTACAGCATAGGGTAGTGAATATTTTAAGCCCACTGTTGAGACCTACTGCTCAGGAAAAAAAAAAAATCCTTTCAAAATATTATCACTCCTTGATAGTACACTTGGTTACCCAAGAGTTCTGATGGAGATGTACAAGAAAATTCATGTTGTTTTCATTCCTGCTAACACAACATCCACTCTGCAGCCCATGGACCAAGGAGTTGTTTCAACTTTCAAGTCTCATTATTTTAGAAATACATTTTATAAGGCTGTAGCTGCCAGAGATAATGATTCCTCTGATGGATCTCAGTACAGTTAATTGAGAGCCTTCTGGAAAAGATTCACCATTCTAGCTTCCATTAAGAACATTTGTGATTCATGGGAAGAGGTCAGAATATCAATATGAACAACAGTTTGGAAGAAGTTGATTCCAGCACTCATGGATGGACCTGTTTGAGGGGTTCGAGATTTCATTAAATGTGTGGTAGAAATAGCAAAAGAACCAGAATTAGAATTGGAGCCTGACAATGTGGCTGAATTGCTACAATCTCATGATCAGACTTTAAGAGGTGAGCTGTTTCTTATGGAAGAGCAAAGAATGTGGTTTCTTGAGATGAAATGTACTCCTAGTGAAGGTGCTGTAAACATTGTTGAAATGACAACAAAGAATTTTGAATATAGCATAAACTTAGTTGATAAAACAATGGCAAGGTTTGAAAGAATTGACTCCAATTTTGAAAGAAGTTCTACTGTTGGTAAAATGCTGTCAAACATTACATGCTACAGGGAACTCTTACATGAAAGGCTCAATCAATGCAGCAAACTATGTCAGTCTTATTTTAAGAAATTACCACAACCACCTTGATCTTTAGCAACCACCACTCTGATCAGTCAGCAGTCATCAACACGGAGGCAAGACCTTCCACCAGCAAAACAATTGCAACTTGCTAAAGATTCAGATGATTAGCATTTTTAGCAATAAAAAGCATGTTTTAATGCAGCTATATACAGTGTCTTTTCAGACATATGCTTTTGCACACTTAGTAGACTGCCGCATAGTGTAAACATAACTTTTATATCCACTGTGAAACCAAAAAATGTGTGATTCACCTAATTACACCATTCACTTTATGGGGGGAGGGTGTAACCAAACCCACAATGTCTTCAAGGTATGCCTGTATTCCATTACCTTTTGGTCTAGGACCACGTAAGATAAAGTGACTAGCAATAATTATAAGACTGAATGGCAGATGAAGAAATTCTTCTAAATTATCTTTTTGGTAATAAGTTACTCTACACTCAGATTGTTCTTCAGTCTGTTTACTGTTTACCAGTAAACGTTACCTCTGGCAAATCTGATTAGTATGTGTGTGTGCATGTGTGTGTGATATCCTTTGAAGAATGATTATTTGCTTTACCAGAAAATCATTCACCTTATTAAGGGATTCACTGAAAAGGTAAATAGCCCATGTCTTCATTTAAAAATAGATTTCATTAACAGAAATTATATTCCCATATAACCTTTTAAGACATCTACTGCATAAAATGAGGTACAGCTACAGAATGATATACATCTGCCAAAGAAAACATCAGGATTTTGGCTGCTAACTCAGTAGCATATTTTTATATACTTTTTGCCCCTACCCCCACAAAAATACTTCTAAGCACTAAGATCAAGTAAAGAGGAGTATGGGCAGGATTGATTTATAAGAAACACTTGAATCAGAGTCATTCATAGACAGAAGTAAGGGGAATAGATAAAACAGAAGATATAGTAATGTTTTTATCTCTCTTATCCTATTCTTTGCTATTCCACTCTCAGTACTGTTTTCAACCACTTTTTTCTAAATGCTATTGCATGAATATAGCCTCCCTCTTTGTCAGTTCCATTACGAGGCACTTTTTCTTAAATATGTAGTCTTTTGGGAAAACAAATGACAAGTTTTAGCAGTTTGATCTTTCTTATCTGATTTATAGTCTCATTCTTGATTCTTAAAGTTTCTAATCCTTTTGACCACTTTTGCCTCATTCCTTTGAAATTTGCTACACAATCATTTTTTAAAACAAGTGATAAGTCAAGGATAAATATTCAGGATGGCATTTTAATTGGAAGATCCCCTGCCTTTTGGCCATTTCACAATGAATAACATCATTGACAAATGGCATTTGTGGAAGAAACATATGAAAAATGAAAAATAGGTATTTTCTACTCTGTACAGGATAAAAGAGATAGCTAGAGTAGGGTTCAGATTATTGGAAGAATTAATCTCTAATATAGTAAGAAAGAATTAAACATTCATTTTTATTTAAGCTGGCATTTGATTACCTCCTACTATAACAAATATTATGCAGTGCTTTTAGTATCCTGAAATAAATTCTACAGGTAACATAATCTAACCTGCTTATGAAACTGTTAAATCTTTGTAATGGTCTAGTTAACATGTAGAAGGAATAAAAGTAATTCATAATAAAAATAATATGTATTTCAATATTTAAAGTGCTCAGGTAAATCTATATGAAAAGATATAATGAAGTAGTCAGATACTTGGTCCTATACATGGAATCATCATGAATTTGACAGCTACAAATGTGGGCTGATACAGGTATGCTTATTGGCAACTCAAGTACCATGGGCATGGTGCCATCAGTTACGAGATTTTTTTTCATAGGGTAAACCACTCTTGGTAAGATTCTGAAAAACATAAAATGCACAACTCTTTCAACTTATGTGGTAGTTGTATTCCCGGAAAAGTCAGTGTATATTAAAATCATGCAAAAAGTATTTTAAGATTATCTGTAAAACATTTCAATTCTAATCCATATAATTATAAACAGGTTTTCAACTACAAGAATAGCTGCTGAACATTTGAAAATCATGTGGGATGCAGAACAATTCTGTACTACCTTGCAAATTACAGGATATCCACTATCCTTGACCTTCTCCCAATAAATGCCAAAAACACCTTCCAGTCATCTTGACCACCAAAAATATCCCTACAAATTTCCAAAATGCTTCCAGAGGCCATTATCATCTCCATTAAGAACCACTGATTGAAACTGAGCAAAGGTATTTTTTTATAATGAAGCACTATGATCTTTTACATTTTACTTTTTTTTTTTTTTTTTTTGAGATGGAGTCTCACTCTGTTCCCCAGGCTGGAGTGCAGTGGCACAATCTTGGCTCATGGCAACCTCCACCTCCTGAGTTCAAGCGACTCCCCTGCCTCAGCCTCCTGAGTAGCTGAGATTACAGGCATGTGCCACCATACCAGACTAATTTTTGTATTTTTAGTAGAGACAAGATTTCACCATGTTGGTCAGGATAGTCTCAAACTCCTTACCACGTGATCTGCCCACCTTGGCCTCCCAAAGTGCTAGGATTACAGGCATGGGCCACTGTGCCTGGCTACATTTTACTTTTATAGTGAATTGATTTCATAGACTAGGAAACTGAATTCACGCCAAAGGTGAATTATCTAATTAGACCAAGCCTGCCATTCAAAAATGATACCAAAATCATTCCTCGAGAACTTGACAGATATTTAATGTGAAAAAACCTTTTACTCCCTATATTTTGTGAGCCTCTCTAAATTAGGAAAAGTATGGGTTTGAAAAGTGGAGACTTTTGATAAGGGTAAAGTGGTGGTAGTGAAAAGACTAGGCCCTGACTATAAAACCATGTTTATCTCCTTCAAATAACAAAGATAGTCCCAAATAAACTAGTTTCCCTGTGACTTCTACATCATTGCATTTTATTAATAAATGGCTGCTTTTTGACTAAACTTCCACCTTTTATATGCTTATGTGAACAGATAATGTAGTGGTCTAGAGTTTCTGTACTGATGGAATAAAAAGCACCCCACTTAATGTCCCCTAAAGTGATGCATTTTTTAAGTAGTAGCTCTCAAAAGTTTCCATTTACTGAGCATTGTTGTGGATAGTTTCATACTGACTTGTAAATATTTTCATTCAACTTTGGCCCTAAATTTTTGAAAATGATGTCTAAACATATTCTTGAAATGTATATCTGCAGTCCCAGATAGATGTGCAGTTATTCAACCTCCAAATTATATTTTTAAAATTATTCCAAATCTACTTCCAAAAATTTAGAAAAGATATTTTTGTATTACATATTCATGTTGTCATTCCTTAGTTTAGGGAGAATTCTCTCCCCTCCACCCCATTCTCTATGAGTAGTTGCTAACCTACCTTATTACCTTTACTCCTAGCAATTTCCCTTCCTCTGACAGAAGCACACACTCTCATTATTTATATTCTTAAATTATAAGAATAAATGTTGAGAGCCAATGCAAGTATTCCGTTATCTCAGGGACTCTGGTCTTTTCAGTCCAGGACTAATCAAGCAGAGAGTCATCAAAAGCTAAAACTAAAAAAAGCTTTTGTAGTGATTTTATCACCAGGGAAATCTGTTCATCCTTCAAAAGGATTGTCACCAGTAAAGAAGAAATAAAGGAGTTAAAATTGCTTCAGACCATTGACTCCGTAGGTCCCTCTAGATTCATAGATTGAATTGGTTTTCAAGGGATGGGAGGAATTATGAGGGGAATTCCCTGAGAAAGCTTACAAATTGATCATAGCCTTGGTAACACTAGTAGGTGTAAGTGTGATCACTATGGGGGAAATGCCAAATGTGGCTGGAAGCTTGGGAAATGGGAAGGAAAGGAGACAATTAACACCTTTTTTTTTTTTTTTTTTGGCTTATTGTATTTGGAGGTGGGTGTTGTCATATAGTATGCATCTGAGAATGGTCTTTCAAAAGGAATTAGAATTGATTTTAAAATATCTTACCATTATAAGTGCAACTGAGTAGTTACTACTGAAGTGAAACTAGGGTTGCAAACACTGTAGAATAGACACACACATTCGATAAACCTATCCAGAAACTGCTCCTCCTGGATATACCCACAAATATCATTTAAAGTAGGCATGTCTGAGCATATGTAGAATTGCTCACTTAGGTTTGGAAAATATAAATACTTCCAAATTCAAAAGAATCCTTTAAGATTGTCATTTGAATAAATCATTAAAAATGTAATAATATGTAGATTTTATGTCTTATGCACCTATTGATGCAGGCAGATGTATATATATAATTTTTCCCCAAGAATTCTATTAAGAATTGTCAAAATCCAGCCAGCACTTGAGGATTTACCAAGATAAACCTACACTCATCCCTCCTTCCTATTGAATAACAATGAATTTTGCCCAAAATGAGTAAGCAGATAAAGAAATGACCTCATTTTTGTCTGAATAAGTAGCATTGGGGGATATGACTTTAATACTGGGTCTTAGTTTCAAATTCAGGTTCATGAAGCCAATCTGCAGAGGAAAGGAGGACACAGAGAATCCTCTGGAGAGCACCGATAAAGAGAGGGGTTCTCTAGTAGGGCCAGCTCCCACAGCTAAGTCACAGGCACAGACTGTAGCTTTCTGCTCTCTGGCCACCGCAGCCTTAGCATCCTTATTGTTGTAACTCCTAGATTGTGATACTGTCACAAAACTGTTGCTAGGCAACAAATGTGGTTACCAGGTCTCAGCGAATAGCTGAAGGGGAAAGCAAAGTGTTGCACCATTGTAGAGTAACCATAGCAATGACCTACTATTACAGACTAAAGAATTATCATTAACAATGTTAAAGTATCAGACAGAGGCCCTGAATCCGGCGACTTCCAAGCGGTATCTCTCTACATAATTGAGTGATCTAGGAAGAGATTTCAACTGTTTAAAAGCTAGTCACTCATTATTTCATGGAAGTCTTTCTAATTATTTTAATTTTTAATTTTAAAAAGTGCTCAGGTACGAAGCCACTTGTAAAATGCTACATAAGCCATCACAGGGAGTCAAAAATAGATAAATGTATTTCCTCATCTGTTGTTATGCCTGCATCCGTGTTATCTGCTGCCTGTATTAAACTGAAGGTCGATTTGATTTGAAAAATGCTGTACATTAGTAGTACATCGAAACCACAGAGAGAAGCTGTAGTAAAATAAAATAACCCCATAAATTGGCAACTAACCTGCATTTTCTAAGTTGAATTCCTCCTGACAAAATGGGAGGCCTAGATGCTCTTTTAGTAGTCACTGCTTTGAAACCTTTTTTTTTTTTTAAAGCTGTTCTAAATTTACCCCTTAAAATCTGTAAAAATGTCGCCTGCTAGGACACTGCAAGGCATCATTCTTTTTGAATGCGGTCCTTCGTTAAGCGTCCCGTATGATTTGGTCCTAGTGACCTAGCTGAGGTAATCGTGTCTAACAGCATAGCTTCCGGGAGCGGCGAGAAAAATCCTCCCTCCCACCCTTGGGAAGCAAGGAAACGGGCGTTGTGGGGTGGGTGGGAGCCGATCCCGCGCGCAGGGGAAACCAATCTCCGCGCGCGCCGAGTCTCGGGAGGTGGGTGGTTTCCCGGCGGGAGAGGGAGTGGCCCTTCCCGCCCAGCGCCTCCATTGGCCCAGAGGGGCGGAGGCCCCGGGGTGCCCGACCGCGCCTCGGGCTACCCCGGGACAGCTCCGAGCCGCGTCCCCGCGTCGGGAGAGGGATGGGTACTCAGGCCGGAGACGCCCGGAAGCCGCGGATAGCGAAGTCTGCGTTCCTCTGAGCCCGGGGGCAAGTGACCCCGCAGCCTTAGGTGTGCCCTGAGAGGCGGGGGCGCGCGCCCGCGAGGGGGCGGGAACCCTGGCTGGGGGGCGGGAGCCCTGGCTGAGGGGCGGGACGCGGGTGGCCGGGGCGGGGCAGGGGAGGCTGGGAGCCGGGGCTCGGCCTGGCCCTCGCAGCCCTCTCCGCGTCCGGCGGCGCTTGGCCACCTGGTAACCGAATGTGTGGTTCTTTGCAGGCACCGACCGTCATGAGCTAACTTCCTGGAAAAGCTTCCCATCTATTTTCAAATTCTTTACCGAAGCCTCAGAGGCCAAGACCAGCTCCCTGAAGCCAGCTGTGACGCGCCGCTCGCACCGCCTCAAGCACGAAGAGCTGTAAGAGGAGCGAGCGCGACGGGGGAGGCCGCCGGGAGCCGCCCCGACGCACGCACCCGCACGCCTCCTCACTGCTTTTGTCGTCGAGCGGACTCCCAGCCCCTCATTAGGTTGTTTTCTTCCCAGAGCACAGGGTCGTGATATATACATCTAAATAGCGTTTTGCATTATTTCTAGATGAGTGCAACTGTCAAAGCAATATGGGTTCACTGGTTGTGCTTCCTGCGGGCTGAGCGCGGGCTGAGCGCTGCCCGAGCGCTGCCCGTCAGCGCTCAGATTAAGGCTGACAGCGCCCTGCCTGGCGCGGCCGGCGTGGCTCTAATTGCCCTGACGGAGTCCGCGCGGGCGCTGCGGGGCGAGCGGCGTCGGCGCGGTCCTAGCGCCCGCCGCAGCGCAGCCGCTGCTGCTTCCCCCTCTTTAATCATGTCCATCTTTCCCCGCTCTCAACCAGAGCAAACTTTTATTCCAGACTTCAGATTTCCATTTTAAATAGGTTTTTCCCTGAGGACATCTTATTACCCCTCTCTTTTTTTTTTTTTTTAGGAAGTTCTGCACACACACCCCAAGCCAATTTCAAATTCAGAACATGAATGCAATGATGTAGCAGGTAATTTGGGGAGAGTAAATTGTTCTCTCCCTGTTTTCCTTTAGGGACCAGAGAAAAAAAAGAAAAAACTTTGCATAAAAATCTATAAAGTACTGAATCCGCATTACTGCTGAAAATCCTTTTGCCAGCTGATTGTGAGAGTTTACACAAGTTTCTGATTTCAGAAAAGACTTAAAACCAAAACAATGATGGGCAGATCTTTTAATTGTAGGTGTGTAAAGTCCCATTTTCAGTGGAATTTCCAACTGTTGTCGCTGGAATTGACTTTACTTTTTAAATACATAATGTGTACTGAGTGGCACTGTAATTTAGATGTAACACACTTAAGTTTTGCTTTTCAAATCTCTCTGTGGAGAAAGATTGTTGTTAATCCTTTCCAGAATGATCTATTCTGAGCTTTCCTGGAGTTAGGCTCTTCTAGGGATAGAATTTTTTTATTGTCATCAAGAAACTAAACCTGTGTGCTCTGCAGCCTTTTTCTTCTGAAAGGCTAGGTGGGACTAAAATGATCCTTTTAGTTTCCTGCTTTAACAAGAAGAGAAAGACTTGGTGTGAAATAATTTCTTCTCTCAGTCCAATGGTATAATTTTTAGCACTCCACTTCCTCTGTAGGGTTTAGCCCTACAATTTTAACAATTAAGTATTTTATTCCAGCGAAGATGTGGCCAACACTGTGAAATACAAGAGATGTTAAGGTTTTGCTGACTTTTGATTAAAATATTAAATTTTCACATTATTTTTTAATTATTTGACAAATTTAATTATCTAGTAAAGATTGTTTCTAATACATGAGAACCTGAATTTAATATTTTCATCCTTTTTTAAAGTGTATGCAACAACTAATATGCCTGCCTTATGTACCCAAAATGACTTAGAACTGTCTAATGCCTCAGAAAAGTAACTTAAAATCAGCCACCTCGTGCATAAATGTTTTTATATTGTGAACCAATTTCAACAAGTTTAAAAACTGTTAATATCTCATTGCTGTGTTTGACATACAAGTACATTCATTAGTTCTATAGTTTTAATGATGACAAAGTGATCTGTTTTCAGTAGTCATGTCTGCATATCTTTTGGTGTTATTTAAGCAGAATCAACTATAGGAGGAAAAATCATTTTATTCAGCTAGTGGATGACTTAAAATGAGTAAGCCTCAACAACGTGAAGCACATTTGTCTATGATATTGACCCTTTTTATCTGATCTTTACTATTTTAGAAGTAGTGGTGAACTGTGTAAAATAATGTCATCTTCCAGTGAGAAATTCAAGAATTGATGTGGATTGAATATATTTTTCAAGGTGTTATATTGTGTCGTGTTATCAGTATATGAAAATGTTCACAGGAAACCATTTTATAACATTAAAAAAAACACTTGTGCAATGCTAAATTTGTGAAGCTTCTTCACCTGAATCAGAGCAAAATAAATATACTCAGTTATAAACCAAATCACTCCTATTCCTTCTCTCAAATCATCTCTCCTCTTTTTAAACCTTTAGCTAGAATAAATCACTATTTAATTGCCTCTAATACTTTAAAACTACTGGATGGTTAGGCCTTGTTTAACTATCTATAGAGAGCTATTTGCAAACTTAAGTTGTGTAAATGTAATTTCTGCTTGTGAATCTGAGCTGTAGCAGCCCAGAGGGAGCTGGGCAAACCATTTTAGACCACCAACTGGTAAGTGATCCGATTCTTTGTAATGTAGGATTTTTTTAACCTGTTGATTATGGGTTTGTTGATATAAATGTAATAATACTGTTCACCTCTATTTTCGTGGAGTAACAACCAGCAGTTGGTAGTAGCCCACCTGCCTGAGGGTGGCCAGTGTTAACAATATTTTTGCTCTGATCTTCCCCATTTTTGTTTTCTCAAACAGGTTTTTAGGAGAGTGGAGATTTAAAGTCAGGATGTGGGCTTTTTATTTAATTATATACTTAATTCTTAGAACAAGTAGAATAGGAAAGGAATGACTGATAAGTCTAAGATTCAAAATAGTCCTGTCGAAACTTAAAGGCCAGATTATTGCTTTGGAGCTTTCTGAGGTACCTAGCCATCCAGTTGTTAAACGTTTTCATGGATATTTGAAAAGAAGACCATGTACTTGTAATAA